TTTTTAGTATGAGGTAAAGTATAATAATTTTCGCCTGGTTATGAACTTTCATACTATCGACACCAGATGCTGACAAATGCAAGCGAAGACGCGGACGGTCCCGAGGTAATATTGTTGACTTTTGTGTCGGGGCGGACGACCGCGTGGAACGGAGTGAATTTACCGAGCTACTGTTGTAAACTCAGTTTAAGCGGTTGAAAATTATCCAGCTGTATTTTATCATCCCGGAAAGACATATTTTATTTGGATGCTAGCTGTTTAGAGTTGTTTTATAAGGAGCGTCATGAGCGTGGTTTTTGTCTTCCGTGTTTCTAAGCGTGATCGTTTTGGGGGAATTTCTCTTATATAGCTCGCTCTGTGTGGCTTATTTATAATTTTTATGCTGATTTCGGTAATTCCTCGTGCCCATCCTACCAGGCCTTTTGCCACGTACACTCATCAAGAAAGGAAAAAACTAGATTTTCATTGGGACTAGGTGTTTTGAGGGTGTAACATATTCAGCGTTCCCATTTTTGGATACTTCCTTGTACTCGTCAACTATCGGTGATAAACAGACAGGTGCTTGACATGTCTCCACCCTCAGCGCGGACGGTGGATATAGGTATGGAAGACCTTGTTGAACATCGCTGAGCGTTGTGAATTACGTAATCCTGCAGAGGGGGGCGTGCCCGCTGCGAGATCGACGGGAATAAAAGCGCAGAAGACCGGGCGAAACATGCGACGGTCTTGCCGGAAAGGTCATCTGATGATTGTTGCGTTAACAATAATTTGCGGCGTTGGACGTGATGCTTGTTAATGAAAAGAGCCCCTGAAAGGCGTCGGTGAAATCGTTCCCAATTTTGGGTACGCCGTTCCCATAATAAGGAACGCTTGCAGCGCCAGTGTACGAGAGCGTTCCCAAATTTGGGCTCGCGGCCCGGATGATGGACTGCTTTAGAAATAGGGGAACGATTTGAAACTACGATGGGCCTTACAATATCAAACTCTTTCCCAACAATATTGAGACAAATATCAGGCGGTTCACGATCGTTTTATATTTTTTGGACGTCTTTTAACGGTTCTTTTTCTTGTTTTAAATAATGCCTACATGGCGTTCCCATATTTGGGTTTATCGTTCCCAAACATGGGAACGAAAATGCGTTCCCGAAAATGGGTACGCTTGACCATAGTTCCGCCTACTGATCATGTAAACTTTTTATAGGTGTGTAATCATGACCTAATTGACTGAGGTGCTTGCTGTTACTGTTAAAATTTGTGCCATAGGTGCTTGAAATGATTATATTCATTGAAAAGAAGGGAGTCATGATTGCCATGTTAATATTCATGCAATTTGAATTGTTCTCAAAATAGTGTAATCAATCATGCTTATTATAGCCATAGACTAAGACAATAACTAGATTGCTATTTTTGACGGGCCGGGCCGGGCTGGGCTTGGAATATTTGCCAAGAGCGGGCTACGGGCTGGGCCGGGCTCTGAACCCATGGGCCCGGGCTGGGCTAGGCTGGGGATTTTGGGGCCCGTGGCGAACACTGCTGTAGAGAGCCGTCTGAGATCGCTTTGGGGTCCTTCAAGATACCTAGAGTGGGTAGGGCCCCTGTGTGACCTCCTAATGTGACCCCCTGAAGTGAGGACATTGCCATGGAACCTCTGGATTGACGCGGAAATCCAGGAACTCTAGTGGGGTGCGGGTTATAATAAATCAAGTCAAGTCTATCAGAAGGATGGTAGGTAATAGGTATACCGATTTCGTATATACGGTGTGGTTATGATAAAAGATGTGTCTAAGGTATACGCATGCCTAAGTAAGAATACCTAACCTTAACCCACTCCGGACCTATTGGTTTTCTACATACCTACGCGCCGGCCGAGGGGGGGGGGGGCGAGGGTACAACCACCCTCACCGTTTCGCCCCTGATGGAGCTAGAGCGTCGTGCAAAAAAAAACGAGCGTGTTTGCCGTTACGAGACGCAGCGACTGGTACCCGATTTTTAGGTCTCATGTCAACCGGTGACCTCTGAAGTCAGGTCAAGTGACCCAAGGCACGGTTTCAGTTTCTCATAAATAGCTTCGCAAAAAAGGTCGCAGAGCCGCTATTTTGGCATCAACGTGTTTGCCTCGCTCAGGCGTGTCGAGTTGTATACTTTTTGTTCGGGTGAGGTCAACTTGAGGTGTTGACCCTGGGTCAAGGTCAGGTCAGCACCCCCAGGTCACGAAGCTGGTCGAAGGAGCAGGAGGTCATGTCGCATATTATTCGATTCTGCAGGCCTTCCTGAGCCCACTGCAGTGGGCGAGTCGGGGAAGCCACCAGTGCACTGGTGGCTTTCCCGACTCGCTAGCTCAATTTGATCGGGAGTTCTTATGACGAGAGTCGACTCTTATGACCCAAGTGACGCATTCGGTGACATCATCTGAGTTTGTGATCTTAACTTTAGCTGGTGATCTAACCTCAGGTCACTCAGCTTAGGTATTTTAATTTTGTTTTCAGTCCATATGCTTCGTATTCATGCTCGTTATTTTTATTATCTCTCAATCTCAACTCTACCCTTAGCGGCTATGTCAAGGTTACGTCCGTAACGTCGAAGTGCCGTATGTACAGGCGTCTATGTATGGATTTAAGCCAGCCCTATGACATCACTTAGGTCCATTTTTCTACAAAAGATGTCGAATTGATGGGTTAAAATATATACTGAAAGTTTCGCTCTCCTATATCTAAGCGTTCCTCTATCGGAAATATTCGTACGGGACGAGCTTCCACCCCCACAACCCCCCCCCCCCCGAGTCCACGAGTTTTCATTGCCGAATTGCCAAGACATTTAACCAGTATCCGTCGCATGTGTTGACTTTTTTATTTGAGATAAAGCTTATTGGCCAAACCTGCTGACACTACTTAAGGTAATATGGAGCTTGCATGCCAATGATGCATGATCAGTCGTGCTGAAATAAACGGTGACACACCGTACCTATAATTTTACGATTTTTTTTGTGAAATACTATCTTCAGGTCCTTCGCAAAAACGATTATATCATATGTCACGAGAAGAAGAAGCCGGAAGGTTGAAGGCGCACTACTCACACGACTCATCCTATATCGACCAAATCTACCAGAGTTTCAACCGCAAACTTCCAGTCTTTGTTCACACTTCCGTACAAGTCTGCAATCATATATGAGGTCACGTCGCACGCGTAGAATGACTAGTAAAAATGAATTCCGTGTCGGAAAGAGGAAGGAATGACTCACAGGTCTTGACTCTGTGTTGCACAATGGTCTCGATCCCAGATTACCATTGTGGCACACCTGTGACGTGTTTGAAGGCGGTAAATCCCTAACCGCGGGGTCGCGGTATGACAGGCCTTGTGACGTGAGATGACTGCCAGTTTCCCTCTCTCTGCGGTGGTCCTGCAAGCGTTGGTTATACTCTAATGTATACCAGTGGTGAATCATTTCGGCCAGAACTTCAAACGAAAGGCATAGTCGCGGGAACCGAGGGGGAGGCAGTGGGGACAGCCTGCCCCCCGAACTCTGGGGCCCAGGGGGCGGTGCCCCCACAACTTTGAGACGGAATACCGCACTTTTTTGCCAATGTTTTCTTTTTTTGTTAAAAAAAGGAATAAAAATAAGTGGCCCTAGATTTGGGGGTATTCTACTATAGGTCGATCTCTATTATCGTGCCCGGGTGCGGGGGAGGCGTTTTTTTTTGTTCTACGTGCCAATTTCTTCTGTTTGCGTAAGTAAAGAAGAACGGCGAAACCTGGCAAAGCTTATAATGTATGAATTATGCATCGTGTGTGGAATTTTTGACCCCAGATCACATGAGGTCAGCACACCAGGTCAAGTTGTACCAACATGCGATATTCGGGACGCTGTCACTGGAGCGGTGCCACCTATTGAATCCGGATCTCGCCTGGACGTGACGTGAAAGGAAGTTTCTCTCGTCTCTCTCTCTCTCTCTCTCTCTCTCTCTCTCTCTCTCTCTCTCTCTCTCTCTCTCTCTCTCTCTCTCTCTCTGTCTCTCTCTCTCTCTCTCTCTCTCTCTCTCTCTCTCTCTCCCTCTCTCTCCCTTTCCCCTCTCTCTTTCTCTCTCTCGCTCTCTCCCTCTTTCTTTCTATCTGCTTTAGTCTATAATGCCCTGAATTAAGAGTTTGGCCTATGTTTTTATTTTCTCCCTATCCTCCACGTCATTTCAACGTTATATCTTCGCCAGAAAGGAGTAAACGTAGGAGAGAGAAAGAGAAAGAGAGAGCAAGGGAGAGAGAGGGAGAGACAGAGGGAGAGAGATGGAGAGAGGGAGAGAGATGGAGAGAGGGAGAGAGATGGAGAGAGGGAGAGAGAGAGAGAGAGAGAGAGAGAGAGAGAGAGAGAGAGAGAGAGAGAGAGAGAGAGAGAGAGAGAGAGAGAGAGAGAGAGAGAGAGAGAGAGAGAGAGAGAGAGAGAGAGAGAGAGAGAGAGAGAGAGAGCTTTGTGCGAAGCCCTCGGTCCAGTTTAGGTGCAATGTGGACACCGATGCGTGCCCATTCGTGAACTTGAACTATCCGACAAATCACCGTGAAATATGTCATGTAAAAACTCTGCGTGAAGATGCGTAAAATATGTGTGAACTAATCGTGTATATGCGTGAACTATATGTATAGTCGTGCTATTTGCGGAAGCCTTCCAGCTTGTACCCCGAAATGGAACGACTTGGCAAGACAAAATGGTGTTCAAAAGTACAGCGTGTCAAGGGGGGAGGCCTTTATGACTTGTCGCAGCGTTTTTTTTTTTTACGTTGTGTCTTGACGACCTTCTGTCGTGTGTGGTCGGGGGGGGGTGGATAGGGGGGTCACAGGGGGGGTCGGGGTCCACCGACCCAAATACCTGCATGTTACTGTACTGAACACAAAAACCGGCCTTAGAGCGCGGAAGACGTCCACACAGCATGACATGCATTTACCGCGCTAACCTGCGGGAGGCGCGACTTTGTGGGCGGCGGGTGAACCCTGATTCCTCTTACTCGAGCACTCGGCGGCTCGGCCAGGCCCGCTGAGGCCGCACCAGATTGTCGCATATCGCGGTCGGCCGGGACGCTTGGTCGATGTGGATGACAAACAGGCGGGTACCGGGTCGCCCCCGGCGCCGGCTGAGGCAGTGGGGCAGCCCGGCCGGGACGCCCCGCCCCCTCCCAGTGACGTCATGGCGAGTGGAGCGCGTGCGCCGGCGGCGCCGGGCCGGGAGTTTAACTCGGGCCGGCCGGCTAGCACCGCGCGCCGTCCCGCGCTCCAGTTTTGTTTGTCCTCTGTTACGGTTCTGTTCCGGTTTATTTGGCTCTTCACCATGGCTGCGTTGAGTTTTCTTCTGCTGCTGCTTGGATTACAAGCCACAGGTGAGTTCAGGTTCCGACCCCACCGGGCCGATCGCTGAGGGCTGCCGTACCTACCGCAGCTCTGATCGCCCCCCATTTCTTATAACGAGGTATGGCATTGATCAATGATTTCAAGTTCTCCAAAAATTTAGCGACCATAGATCATTTTCAGCAAAAGATAGTGCTGTTAGGTGTGATCATCACCATTTGTGATTTGGGTCTGGTAATGGAAATTAGGTCTGGGTAGTGGGTTGGCAATTCTGAAATAATATAAAATACCGCTGCCGTCTCGGCAGCAAACGTGTGTCTGGAAATCACAATTACTGAACTTGAATATTGATTGTCTCTAGTGTTTATACCTACAGGTCGGGAGAAAATATGCCCTCCCTGTTTTTCACATTAAATATTAGGTATCCATCTGCATCGACATCGCATCGGTTAGTTTCTTGTTCCATCGGTTAGTTTCTCGCTATCGACCTGCGAAACTCTATGATGCTGAGACCGGTCCGGAATCCCAGTGGACCGGAACTCTGCGAGTAAGAGCGAAAGTGCTGCTGCCGGGGGCGGTGAAGGTCAGATGAGAGCGGGTCCGTGGCCGTGCCGGCCGCCCTCCGCGCACCTGTCACTGGCCGGCGCAGATCGTGTAGTGGCTCGGCCCTCAGCTGGACCACTCAGTCATTATCAGGTGCCTTTTTTGATTTGCATTCAATTTATCAGATGATTTTAGGTGCAATATTACGTAAATTACTTACATTTGCTTTGATTTGGAAGTTTCGTAAGGGTTCCTACATAAGTGACCTGCATATTACTCAACATTTCTGCGATCTAGGAAATGTGTCAATCTGTCCTCAATTGCAGCACTTTGTCCTCACTTGAAACGATCTAACAATGTTTGTAGAGCAAATCGAGACACAAATCTTCATTCCGCTCCAATAGCATTGTCTGGAGAACAGTTACAGGAGAAAAGTGGGAGGCCGACGGAAAATGGTTCTTTCCTGCTACGATCGGATAATGAGAACCGCCAATCATGCAATTATCTTAGAAATGGTTTGTAAAGAGCTAAATCCACGGTTCTCTCTCATTCTCGGTTCTCGGTTCTTTCCTTTCCATTCCTTCGCTTTCCTGCCTTACTTTTTAAGCTTAGGTGTGCCACTGTGTCGAATGATTTGGTTATCTGTGCAGAATGTCTTTTAAGCATTATGTTTAGAATTAGATATAGACATGATAAAATAAGATATTGCATTCGTTATAAGCAGTCGTATTTGTCAGAAACATTTTTTTATCTTAAAGCTGTTTAATTCCTACCCTGACTACGTCATACTATATTTATTTTTCGGCAGTTATCCTTCCTAGACAAGTGTCAGTCTGAAACAGTCGTTGCCCATTGACTGGTGGTGTCTTATCAAGCTGTGTGAAAATAGGAGTGATTAACTTCCACATATATACTGCATGGGGCTGCCCAGTGCCGGTCGAGTCCAACTTCAAAAATTGGGCCAGGCACCCATCAAATGGATGAAAACTCAACGGTCTAGCTAACAGAAATCGAATCGGCACGCTTCGCTTGCAAATCAGCTCTGGGTCGATGCTCTTGAATTTCTGCATCTGGTGCGCGTCGGAAAGTCTGGGAACCGATAAGTCGTATAAAAAATCGTAACGGAAAAACAACAAGACAACGAGAACGAAGACCACACCAAGACAACGCGGACGGACGAGCAAACAGAACCCCAAATGCAGCAATCTGTGGTGGCCCGTAAGCCGATTTACCAATTACCAATTACCGAGATACCTCTTTAGCTGACCTATCCACGGTGTTTCATACGCTTTCGCAAAATTTCATCACTGATATGACAGCCAACATCCGCAGCCGGCGTGCCCAGCCAGCTGCGGGTATAGGCTGTCATATCAGTGGCGAATTTCAATTTCTACAGAAGCGTATGGGACACCCGCAATGGGTCAGCATAAGGAACGGTAGGTAATTCGAGATAACTGTCGAGCTTCCTGGCTTTCAGCCCCCGGTATCTACATGCGGAAACAGGATATCGTCTATCTATCCTGTTGACAATTATTCGGGAGAAGGGCCGCTGTTGCAGTGAGTGCTTCCTAGAGATGTCAATCGGATACCAACTTTTTGGCATACCGATACCAAACCGATACCAACTTGGTATTTGGTATTTCAATCGTAATGTGTTTGGTATTTTGTTGGTATCATAAACCCTCACTAATGTATAAGAGGCTAAGAAATCGGTAAAAAGTTGGTATTTCCCTGATCCCTCATTTTCCCAAGTTGGTTTGGTTTCGGTATTTTCCCGTGGTTTTGGTTGGTATTTGGTTTGGTATCGGTATTCCGATTTTCTGTAATTGACATCACTAGTGCTTCCTGTACTGTCTTCTGCTCGACTTCCAACTTGATTTTGTCAAAAGCATTGACAAACCGAAGAGGTGGACGAACTCTTCCAGCGGAGCCTTCCACTGTCGAAAATGATGCAGTATTGATCTCTTGTACGTGATCAAATAATGCAGTGCTCATCACAAACCGTCGACATAGACATGCATGAGCTGATCATATTTCGAGCTCATCCGCAATGTCGGAACCTCTGTTGGGCGCCGCGCCGCATGACGCTGCTTTGAACCGCTGGCGATGTTGCAACTTGGGCGCCACCCCGGGTCGGTCTTATCACTACCCTCAGCGCTTACCTTGCTCGGTATCGGGTGGAGGGCATCCGGTGGTGAGCCGCCGACCGGAGACGTGATGGGGAGCGCGCGGGGCAGGGGAGGGGTGCGCCGGTGAGCCGCCGACCGAGCCGCGCCGTTCCGGACGCGGGCCCGCCCACCGCCCAGTGAAAGTACCGCCTCCGCCGCCGCCGGTACTGGAAGGTCGGCCCAGGGACGCCGACGCACCTCAAGGCCCCCGGGGCGCTGACAAACAACCGGCGCATCGCTGCCGGCTTCCGCAGGCGCCCTGGGAGGGAGGTCTCTTCCTGCCGTGGGCGCTGACCCTCAGCGCGCTGCGGTGGGGTTGATTGGTAGCTGGTCATAGGGAAATGTTCAACGCGAGGACGCATTTCGGTGGATAACAGAGAGCTAAAAAATTGTTCCTGACATCGTTTGATGGTCCAGATATCAATAACATCATTTTGCTACGTGGAATGATTGTCTGTGGTAGGTACTTTTATCGGCTTACTAAACGCAAATAATATCTTAGTTTGAATTAGCTATAATAAATACTTCATTCATTTTTACCTGATTTCCAACAAATTCACAGTTTCTTTTTTATATTCCAAAATACAACTTTTGCCCTCCAGGCTTAGCATTTGATCGAGAAACATGTATTCACATTTATAGAGATTAGATCGCATGAGCACGCGCGGCTTCAAACCATATAAAATATTATTTTGAATCAATGGTAAGGCGACTAAATGGTCACAGAAACGAGCTACACCTTATGAAACTCGACTAAATGGTTATGCAATTGGGCACGTAATCAAACGACAGTTTGCACGCAACAAAACATGCGATGCAAGCGCCGTGAAAGTATCATGATTATCAAAGCCCAGTCTGTCACGATACAGCCCCCTTCATGTTCTCGTAGTACATGGTGACCGTCATATCGCCATGACGCCAGCAACCGGTACTTCCTATAACACGTCAGATGACCGTGGGAGCCCGCAGTCTGTCTGAAACACACCTCCGCCTGCTCTGAGTCACAACTGTGCCTGGTCGAGTCTGGATCACAGAGCAGCGTCGTGTCTGTTTCCGATGGTGGATCTGTTTAGTTCAGAAGATAATTTGATATTTTAGGTTTCAGCTGTTCCATTTGATTCCTCGTGTGCTTGCTTTTCGGGTGTTTAACCCTCGCCCATGTAGGGGGGGTTGGTGCAACCCCCCCCCCCCCTGAGGCTTTTCGGAAATAGTGCAAAAACGGCGGCGCGCAGCGCCGCCAAATTTTGGGTACCTTATGGGGCAAACCTTGCGCATCTTTTGATAAAAAAAAAAATTTGACCGGGTCATGTCAGGTCACGGAGTTATGACGTCACAAAGGGAACAGCCTCCGGCCGGATTTTCACAAACTGAGTGCCAACGCCCGAGGTTTCCTGCCGGTGGTACGGACATCGGTTGATGGATCGTGATGAAACTTCCCATGCATGTTGGGGCAAGTATTGGCTATCATATGGTATAAGAAACTTGACCAGGTCAGGTCAGGTCACGGAGCTATGACGTCACAAGAGGAACAGCGTCCGGTACTATTTTTGAAAAGCGCCTGAACCACTATTTTGCTAATTCTTGTCACCTCAATGGGAATATGCAGCAATATTAGCTTCTATAGGGAGAAAATGGACCTCCCAAATCCAAAAATACAATCAGATTTCAAAAATTTAAATTTTGATTTTTCGAATTTCTGCCGCCGACTGTGACCTTGCCGACTTCCGGCGCTCCCAACGCGCCATTTTTAGAGCTAGGGAAACGAAATACATACCAAACGATAGAGAATTGATCAAGGAACACGATAGTGAAGGTTTCAAGTCGATATCTCCCACCGTTTTGCCGCAATCGCCGCGGAAAGTTGAAAAAGTCTATTTTTCCGAAAATTTGACCTTTGACCGGTCAAACGTAGGTCAAATGTTGACCTAGGACCAAAAATATACCACCAATCGCGAGATCTCGGCGAGAGCAATCCGTTGGTCTTTTCCGCTAAGCTCTACGACGCTCCGTTTTCAAACGCCAAGGGGGGGGTCGCACCAACCCCCCCCCCCCCCCCCCCCTGCATGGGCGAAGGTGGCAGATCGCCGTTTACGGGCGAGGGTTAAAGCGGCTTTACCGCATTGTGCAAAACGTATCAGATATTTTGTTTCAGGTATTATCTTCATCTTGTGAACATGTCTTACATGGAATTCATGCCACTTCTTGCCGCATGCACATTGTGCACACGAGTGCTCAATCTCATGTGACCAGTGCGGTTTCTAATCTGACGAGGGGTTCCCTGTGCTGTGCACCGAAGCATCTCTTTCCGGAGTCGCCTAGAC